AGAGCAGCAACGCGAGGAGCCTCAGATGCAATATTCCCATCCGAGACGCCGTCCTCACGAGGCGCTTCGTCTGACGAGGGCTTGGCCTGCGATTCCTCAGAAATGGCCACGGGACGCAGAGAGCTTAAGTTTTCAGTACCTGGAGGGATTACCAGGCCCGGAATTGTTGGGAACGCAGTGGGCGTCTGGTGCAGCGTCGCGATTGGCACACCTTGGTCGTGGTCTGTTACCACGGCTCGCGTTGACGAATCGTCACACTTGTTCTTAGATGGCGTTCCTGGTTGAAGTGGAGGGAAATCCTTGGATGCCGCCTCGAAATACGATGGCCTGATGGTGCAGGCCACGTTGGCATGCGGGTCCTCCCAACGGCGACCACGGCAGCGAGCAGCCTTTCCCGTCGTGGCCATAAACGCCGCACCTTCCACAAAACGGAGGCTGTGCAGTTCATGCGAAGTGCCCACTTCTTCACATCGACGGCACACTCGCTGGATGCCTTTATAGTCACAGTTACTTACGTAAATGATGCCGTACATGACTTCGTGTCATGATTATCAAGTTAGGATGTGTCATTTACCTTCGTCATCAATTCACATCACGTGATACTAAAATTAGTATATGTGGAGCTAGCGAAACGATCGCGAGCGCATCATGAATGGCCCAATACACTCCAATGCAGCGTGGACGCGCGCGCACGTTAGAAAAAACAGGGTAACAATTTAGAGTACAGGGTACTCGACTGTGGTAGAACTTAAAGCCGTCCCGTGAAATCCCAGGCCATTTAAGGGCTGTTTATAGAGGTGTGGGCAGAAAAACCTATCACTACTTGATCCGAACTATTGTGCAACAGCGTCCGAAACGCTTACACTCGGGGCTGGCAAACCTAAAGATATGTAGCCCCAAAACATGCGCTGGATAAATGTGTATTAGTATGCACCATTTTCAAACACTGATGCTCTTTATATCATGAAGTTGTCAGCAATCAGCCGCTTCTTATATCGCAAGCGGATCATTTATCCAAATGACTTTTCACCTAAGGTTGCTACAAGGTAGTTTGCATACACAGTCACGATCATGTTGTTGCCTTTAGCAACTGTAGCGTTGGGCTGACAAGCGTATGGTTGGAGTTTCACGCAATTCCCGGCATTCAGAACGGACTGAGCTTGGAGAGAGCATTCCACAATACGACACAATTACAATTAATCAAATAATGGGTATGTAACCATAAAAGAAAGGATGAATAAATAAATGAAAGAAATATTATATTGGTGAATAATTAACGAAACAAACAAAAGTAATACTTTATGCACGCACACAGTAAGCTTCCTTCGAATCCATTGCTTGTATGAGCCGGGGCTTCTAAATTTTTTTCTCGCGCATGGTTGCTTTCTTAAGAAGGCCTCGTTTTCAATCTCTGCGCCTATTGCCTGAGGCCCGCTTTCTGTGCACAGTTCGAGACCCCTGACTTGTACTGCCAGGGTGGTGTACGTTACTACTTCCGTATACGTGAAACGTTACTACCTCTGTTCACATCTGTATACTTTGCTGTAAATTTGTAATTGGGGCAGTGTTGTGGAAAATTATGCCAAACTGTAATACCCTTCAACGTTTCCTGCAACAACCTTCCAAGTAACCGTTAAATGACATCACTGAAAGAGCACATTGCTTCATGAATAGACTGTCGCAAACAGTCCGTCAACTATTAGTGGAAATACAGAAATTAGCCACACGCCTTAAGCGCTTTCTACCTCATTGTCACACCAGCGAGTTCACTGAAAGATATGTACTATCGGCGTGACAAAGAGGCGAGTGCTCGCACACCCTTGTCGGCAGGCATCATAACTTTGAGCGCTTTACTTTTTTCTTCGAACGTGCAGCTTACATTCAGTGTGATCGCCAACGTGCGCCTGGGCATATAGCGACATCCCGAGGAAGCCATAGTAACTATACAGCTTACACTGCTCAAACCAAAATAACAGAGGGCTCAGCTAGTTGCTAAGTGTTCATTCAGACTCGTTCAAATATGGTCATGAGACCAACGTCAAGGCGCCCCAAGCACTGTTGAATAACTGAAAAAAAAAACGCACAACGGCGGAAAAGAAAGAAGGAATGGAAACCCATTTTCGCATGCTCAGGCAACAGCTGGACACATTGATCTAGCGATGAAGTACGCGGGGCGATTTAGTAAATCATGATCCCGTACTTTGCATTCGCTATGTTCTTTCTATCAATACACCACGCGTGGAGGTTTGCGGGAAGGTAACTGTTAAGGAGCTCTCACCAGCCTCTCAAAATATGAAAACAAAAACGAGGGCGTTGATCTCGCCTGGCGATTTTCGACTCACTGGCACACTTCGTGACGCAAGAAGAGTGGTCCCCGTGACTTCGTTACTGTACGTACTCTCGATTGGTCCATATACGCGATACATCAGGTGCGAATTGTCCCCTACAATGCCTAACCATGCAGCCGCCGGCCAGTTTTTCTTTGCATCTCATGCACGATCAACTTAAGTCACTTTGTTTGCGTATGTGTCTTTGTGCGTATGTGTGTGTTTATTCTGGCTGCGTAAGCTCAGGTAACAACGTGTAGCCGACAAGCACAAAATCTTGATATGCTCAACGTTTAGTTCTGACATCGTGCATGTGCTTTGAATAAATATATGGCAAGGAGGAGATATCGCCTGTAGGAAGGGCAGCGAATACGAGGAGAAAACCACTCCTTCGCCTTTGAACGCGGAGTTATGTTGCAATGCCACATAAAATATAATTTCAGGCCCGCTGAATGCCATTTTGACCCAACACCTCCTTTATTTCTTTCAGTGCCATGGAATCGCGCGCTTCTCAACGGAAGCCTTCGGTTCGCCTTAGTTCAGGGAGAGGTCGTGATGCGGCGCTACATGATAGGTAGCTCTGCTCGCGTCGCACGTGCGTCCAAGCGCTTTTCCCGCGAAGATGCGACAGGCGTGTTTCCCACTCCGATACCATACGTATGTCAGATTTGTTCCTTCGGTCTCCATCTTTGTGGCTTCAAGCAATGCCGCCACTGCATCATAGCGCCCTCAAATTCAACGCACGCAGTTGCGTTGCAGTGACGCTTCCCCATTGGTGTCCCGCAAAACGCCACGAACGGCGACACATTAGACACTTTCAGCTGGGCGTACGTAACGAGCCCACGTACACAGCACTGCCACGAGAGAGAACTGCACATGTGCAGTACGTAACGCATCGGTTCCAGAGATGCGCGCGTACGCCCGAAAAAAAAAATGCGGCGTGCGTAAAAGTGACGAGGCGAAGTGTACGCGGCGTGACGCTCTCGCGATATCTCGATTGATATAGGAACCAGACAGCAAAAGGGCAGCAAAGGAGTCCAACGCAGAGAGCAACAAAGCCGGCCCAAACAGAGTATGATTTACTTTGAGAGACGACTTTGTACAGCTACCGCACGAGGGCGCTAAAAAGCCCCCAAAAGCTGTTTTATTTCTAAGAGCATTCGTCTAGTTGAACCAAACGTAACTTGGTACGGTCAATACGGTGAAATAAATGTGTCGTTGAGCGCTTCGCATGCAGCGTACACAACGTATCGTGCTGCATACGTAGTAGGCTCGTTACGTACGCCCAACTAAAAGTGTTTACTATCCCGAAGAACCGTATCTTTTACACAGCCAGCGTGACGGCCAACACTATGAACACGAGGAATTGCAAGACGCCACCCCACGGAATCGTACACAACTGAACAAAAAGAAAACTTTTTGTGATTTCCGTCGGGAGGCAATGCATGATTGGCTCTCTCCCCCATGAACGCAAAGCGCTCGCGAAGGCTACGCGATGGGCGATAGAGGGAAAGGGCTAGAAGAGAAGGTGGGGAATGACTGTAGAGGGTGCATCTTGCTGACATTGATAAACTATAGAGGAGGCGCTGCTTGATCGAGCGAGCGTGCACGATAGGCTGTGAAGCTAGGATATCAAGTCACTGCCGGCACCGTCTTCCGTAAAACGAGAAAAATGCTCGCAAGCGAGTGTTACACATGCAATGGCTGAAGATTGTTTTTTGCGTGGCAATGGGCTGTGGTTAACGAAATGTATTTCGCATTAAATTTTTTGTGCGTGATTTATCAGTAAGCCATTAATAACACTCTTAAAAATAAATGAACACCATCGAACGCCCTAGGTTCGAAAAAGAGCTAATACACCATTTACGAAAGCGATATATCAGAGGGTTTCTGCAGCACATGACACTTATTTACTAAGGTGCAAAACAGAAAAATCTTTCAGGTGTCTACAGGCATCAAAATTAAGCAGCAGCACATATTTGATGGAAATTACATGGGCTATGGTTTTGGCGAGACTGTCGCATAATTGTAATATCTATGAAAAAACGGTTCGGAACTGAGGAAAGAAATGTTTCGTAGTTGACAGCAAGTACACGACGCAACGCACCAGTACTCCTGTCCTCTTCTCTAGGAAATAATCGAAGATGTTACAATAAGCCCGTGGTGGTATACTCATATAGCCACCCTGAAAGATAAACTCCTCTTCGGAGAATAAATTGCTATGCGCGTTCATTGCTTCATTTCGGCTTTTTCAAGGGGCGAGCAGCGAACGTAAAAATTCATCTCGCTCCGCCTAGTAAGCCAATGAAGTGGAGTGCGAACAAGCGTCTACTTCGTTTCGTCATCGCTTTGCAGCCAAGCAGAACACGTCTCGGCAAACACGCCCGTCAACTTGGTAAGAAGCGCAGCAACTATTACACAGAACACACAACACAACCACTTATGTACATAAGCTCACACAAAGTATGTACAACCACTCGTCAAAAACGCTAAATCTGCAGTTCCGAGTGCTGTCTCGGAACGTTACGTTATTGCGGCATTGTGCGTTAGCGAATTTCGTCTCAAGGTGTCTAACATCAAGGCTTATTCGCCAACAAGTAAGAAAAGCACACGATATCACTTTGCAGAAAGACCAGAACGTGTTAACGCTCTTAAAGCAAGTCAAAAGCATACCTCGGAATTACACAGCGAATGCACATCCATTCCATCCCGATGAACGGCACGCTCCCACTTGGCTTTCTGATCGTCCTTGGAGAACGAAAACACTCGAACCTCCGGTACATTGTCAATAGCGATGGCAGTTGGGCCCGCAGAACTGCTCCGTTGGGAGGGCTTGTAGGTTATTCACTACGCCAATGTTCAGTGAACAAAGAACATCTTATCACCAGGCAGCAGTTCACAGACGCAGAAAAACACGGTATCTTCATGCAGTCAGCAAAAGAAACACCAGCACACGCTGATAGGCTTCGCAGGCTTAGCAATCCTGCTCTCTCGATTGTCGGCAGCATGCAATTGTATGTCCACTCAGCACGAGGCGACAGTCAAAACTGAGTGACGTCAAAGGCCATTCCCGGAGTAGTGAGCAGGCATGGAATATATTTTTTAGGTGACATTGGTTGCGGTGCCCTTTCAAGCATTCGATTTTTTTTGCGACTTGTTCGACGGTTGACTAATGCATGCACTACTGTTATTGATATGCCGTGGTTCGATAATCGGACACGCGTTTATTCATTCCCGTGCCTGTAGAAATCTGGGCACTCATCGAGTTGCAGCATGAATACTCTCGGCAATGTAAAGATAGATTCGAACGTGAAGGTCCGGTTACAAATATCCTATGTTCCTATAAAACAAATTAGCTAAATAGATTTGTGCCGCTGGGCAAATAAAGAATAAGCGCCCAATATACAAAAAATCCACTGACAGGTGTTTGATAACAAACCCAACAAATTCACTCATTACCATACCGGTGTGGTGTATGAGGGTCATTTTAGCTGCAGCTCCTTGTAGGAGAGACGGGCCGTTTTGCTAACCAGGGGTTATTAGAACACAAGAGAACGCTGACCAAAAGCTCACCTTCCACTCTGTCTTTACATTGTTCACGGTGTAGGTGCGTGCCAGAATTGGGTGAATGCGCTCTTTCGTACGAGTGCGTGATTGAAGAAGCGCGTCTAATCATTCGTGCATCGAGTATCGATGATGGTGGTAGCGTAAGCGCGAGTCAACCGTGGCTTACTTAGCACCAAAAAGAAATCAAACGTAATAACCATAACACTTAACGTAAACACCCACGTGGGCCAGATTGACAGGTTCGCATATTGCTTGTGTATGCGCGGTTCAGTTTCCATGTGTTATTTTCCGCCGCTGTGCGTCTTTGCAGTTAGTCGCCATTTGCGCTGTCCTGACTTATTCCTTGTGCTCATGTTTGCCTGTACCCGTCTTTTATAACTCTCAAATCTCCAAATGGTCATATACTTTGAGTTTATGATTTATCTATTTGGGTTTGAGGCAGAATATGTCGAGTGCAGAGGTGGATAAGTTGCAGGTTACTTTGAGAATTATGTATCAATTTCAGGCAGTGTGCTGCGATGTAACATTTGGCTCTATATTGATCGTGCTTTCTGACCATACTAAATGAGTGTTGCAGGATGATTTTAAACCTGTTGTAATAGCAGTTTTACGCTACGCCATACAAGACGTAAATGCAAATAGTGATGAACAAAAATTAAGGCCTTAAACGTGAAAAGTAATTGTCTTAGAGTTCATGGTTAAGACATCTGTACGACATTCACGTCCCTGGAGTGTAAGAGGTAGATAAGCTGAAGTGGTGCGTGCCCGTTAGAATCATCTTCAGCGCATGCTCACCTCTGGCGTTTCCTTTCCTGTACCGGGTATAACACGTGTACGACTAATATCTGAGGGGCTTTTCTGTTTGCTTAAAGCTGCTCCCTGCATTACTCCGACGATACCGCAATCAATACAAAGAGTAGGGTTGTATATATCCTTTGCGGTTAGCATGTGTGTGGCGTAGAATCCTTATATTCTGGGCATGCTCTCATGAAATAGCAATGTATTTGATAAGTCGCCTGCTGCAGTGTCGGATCTTCTGGCAAGCCGAAAATAGTTGCACTGCAGTGCCATGCCCGACTTGCAGCACCAAGATGTGTTCTCGAGTGTATAACGAAAGGAAAAAAAAAGTTATCACTCATTTCTTCACACGTTGCTGACTATGATATTTTAGCGTTTATAATTGCAGCCTCTTGTATAATAAGCCAAGCTCAGGAACATGAAACAAAAGAACTATTGCTTCGTGCGTGATCAAAACTGTTACGCTGAATTTTCAGCAAAGCATCGGCTGCACAATACCTACTATACTCTGTTTCAACACTGTGGCTCAGCACTACCAGAGCTATGGGGTGTAAGAAAACCACACTCTTGCCTCACAAAACATAGTCCCAGATAAACCAATGCCTTAAAACTGACAGGGTTGACTAACTTTCTAAGGCATTGTTTGGGCTGCATCACCAGACAAAGGCCCGTATTCACAAACCAAGCTCATACTTTCCTCAATTTTTCGTTATCGGTTTTAAACCTTTATTCAACATGATAAACAAATTGGACCAGTATACGTAAACCAGTCTTGTCCATATCTTTTACCCTGTTACCATTTTTTGGTTCTTTATAACGCATGTAGAGAACTGTTGCGACGCGCACCTCCGACGACGTTACGAAGGGCGCCTCGAAATAACACCGCTGCCACCACTGTTGCGACGCGCACCTCCGACGACGTTACGAAAGGCGCTACGAATCTCACCGCTGCAACCACTGTTTCGAAAAACGGCGACCCCAACGCGGTCCTGAAGGCGCCACTGCTTCGAATTCCACCGGGAAGGTCACCAGCCGTTTAGTAGCGTGGGTTTCTCAGCTCGCGACTGGTTCTGCGCAGAGCTGATAGACGATCGGACGAGACGACGGTGAGTTAAACAAGGTTTATGTACAGCATATATACAGAGGTGTTACAAATTCGGCACTGGGGCCGACAGAGACGCGAAGAGCCGAGCTCTTCTCTCTAACACATAGCTCTACTCTCAAAAGGGTCTGCTGTCAAAGGGGTCTCCTCGACGCGCCGCAGGGCTTCTTTTATATGCACCGGGTCCAACCCGAATGTCCAACCAGAAGCGCCGCTGGTCGCGAGGTCAGAATCCTCCAATGAGGTCGCCGCTGGGCCGCGTCCTTCTCTCTCATCGAATCTGGAGAGGCTGCGCTGCAGGTGGCTGCACTGAAGGACGAGTGACGTCGCCACGCATTGCGTCAGGCGCCCCCCAGACAGGAAGACGCCAGTTGTTTACTCGACGGGCTCGCTGGCTGCGCTGACTCACTACACGTGTGCGCCAGAAAGGCGCCGCGAGTGTTTACGCCGTTGAGTGGTTCGCGTCAGGCGGGCTGGCCTTGACACAAATTGCCTTTTTCAGAGGCACGGACGTTCGCTGTGGACTCGCAGGCATAACAGCACCCCCGCCGCCAGACAATGCGCCGAAAAGACGAGCTGCTTCCACGTGGCTCGGATGTCAGGCGCGCTCGTTCGCCAGGTCCCTCCAGGTTCGCCTCCAGGGCCATGGGGAGAATTCAGATCCAGGCTCCGTTCCGGGAACACATCCCATTCTTGAGGACGGATCCCAGCTCCACTGGCTTGTCGCCACAAATTGTCGACCAGCTTCGCTCGTCTCTTCTGACAATCTTTGGTTTCAGCACTTGTCGATGCGATGGTTCTGCAACTTGCCAAGAACGGTTCGACAACAGACAACACACGACACAAGCAAGTGCCCTCGGTCACCCGACAGAACACCAGACAAAGTATAGTACACATATACCTAGCTACGTGTCTATCGGAATTTCGTTCCCTCTACATCAAGAGGCACATGTGGGACACAAGACTCTTAAAATGAGAGCTCAATTTTTTTTACGTACAACAACGTAACGAAGTAGAATACAACAAAGTTGGCCCCTTGAGCTCACTCTGGACGAGAGCGCTCAGCTAATGTCGTGATGAGGTCAAAATTTTGCCCCGAATCGCCAGCGAGAAACCGAAAGGTGGAGAAAGTACTAACTAAACGCACGGCTCAATGCACCTGCATTAGCGTATAGCTTTCCTTTTTTTATTTAGCGCACGTCGAAGTTGTGCTGTCGGAGAATCACGCTCCAACTCAGTAACCGGTCACTTTTAGGCGACGATACCTATGCGGTACCAAGAGCGGCTCACACTTGCGACGTTGCACAGGGGAACAACGATACGGCTTGCTACGGATTGACTCCTCACCGCATAGCTCGATATGGTGTTCGATCACCCTCGTGTTTCCGGGGCGGTCTGAAAACACGTCTCCAAACTCGGAAACAATCTTTCTCAGGTCCTCCTTCTGGACTTCACTTAAGCTAGGCTCTAGGTTCAACTGCTCCAAGGTTACCTCCGATCCCCTTTCGATTATATCACTAGAACTCAAAATTTCTGCTCCCTCTTCCTCTGAAGCATTCAACAGCTGATTTACGACTGCTTTCAAGTTACTGTGGTAAATTTTGTTTGGCTGCCTTCCTATTTCAATTCATAATTTGTATCGGAAAGCTCAGATATTACTTTGGCGGGCCCTTCCCAATGAATCTCAAGCTTGTTCTTTTTGGACGGCCGCAGCAGCAATACCTGACTTCCTACTTCAAAAGCGCGCTTCTTCGCCGATTTGTCGTAGTACTTCTTCGACAATATTTGTGAAGCCTTCATGTGGCTTTCCCCTAGCGCTTTAATTGAGAGGTCCGCACGCTGCTCTTGAATGGGCGTTTCTCAATCAACCCTCGACAGCTCACTCCAACTTTCCGCTACAGGCGAGAGCGTTGCACTCCCCTCGCTCTGACTCAATGGCGCCATGTCGTCTCCCCCTGCTACGGAAGCCGCGCCGGTCGCTTCGGCGACGGGCCGCTCGAGTGACTGCTCACATGACTCACACGGAAAATTTCCTCTCTGAGGTTCCGTCGACCCGCCGACAAGGTCACTTGAGAGTTCACCGCATTGAACAAGATCAAGCTCCGGCGAAAGCTTCCGCGCTTGCGATCGCGTGAGGGCCATGTACGCTAAGTTGGGGAAGAACGATTTACCTTGTTCTTTGAGAAGCTGCTCTGAGTTGTTAGAGAAAAGATAAGGAAAACGATCGGGAAGCGCGGCAGACACAGCCGCTTCGGTGCAAAGCTTACCGAACGGGCCTTCGATGACAACCGTGGCGATTGGTAAACAAGCACTCTGCTCTTCGGCGACTTGCCTGATCCACGCGCATTCTGCTGTAAAGTCATTCGGAGACACCAATGAAGGATGGACAACATCCATGGTTGCCGCTGAGTCACGATGTGCTCGACACGTTTGCCCATACACACTAATTCCTTGGATGTACGGCTCCAACAACCGCATGTTCTTTTCCGATTCTCGGATTGTTGCAAAAGCAAACTTTTGCTTACAGTTTGTC